ATATAAGAATTATCATTATAAATAAGTTTTATAATGAATTAATATATTATTATTTTATATAAAATCATTAATATATGAATATATTTTATGAGTATTAAATATTATTTTTATGATCTTGCAAAGGTTTTATTAAGGTTACCGAAATATTTTTATCTTATATCTATTTTCAAAGTAAACTATTAATTTATAATAAATTTGAAGCTTGATGGAGGAGATTTTTCTTCACCGTTGACATGCTAAGATTTTTTAATTAAAAATAATTAGTACGGTAAAGATAAAAATATTATATTAAATTTTTTTTTATATAAATTATAGAATTCAAAACGATGATTTATTTTGAATACTAATCAAGAAGGCTCAGAAAAAATTCACTTTCAAAGTTCGAACGAGGCTCTCCGAGCGACCAAGATCATGAAACTTTTGGCTGGCGACGTCGGGCTTCACAGAAGTCAAGCAAGGATGTCGCACAACCACTGGAGTTCTACATGGTGGGGATGAAGGAGCAAGGAAAAAACAGAATACTACGATGCAAGTAAAAGAATCCTTTCGATTCAAGAAAACTGATATAGTATTTAAAAACAGAATGATTGACAAGAATACTTATAAGATACTAAATGCACACACTCTCTATATCTTTGCTTCATGAACTATGGTCCTATTTATAGGACCTAGTTATAACCACCCTATAACTACTAAATAATGATTGTGATAATTATTGAAATCATCCTATAACTACTAGATCATGATTGAGGTGGTTGTTGAAATCATCCTGTAACCACTAAATCATGATAACTATCTAGATAGATAACTATGAATCAAATCTCAACACTCCCCCTTGATTCATAGTTGCATACACCGATTTGTGACATAAAATAAACATGTTTTTGAATTGGAAGCGACTTGATGAAGATATCCGTAACTTGTTCATCTGTTCCACAATACTTCATTGTTATGGCTCCACTTGCTATAAGATCTCGGATGAAATGATAGCGTATCTCTATATGCTTCGTTCTTCTATGAAACGTTGGATTCTTCGTCATTGCAATTGTAGCTTTATTATTATAAAATATTTTCGTTGCTTCTTTTTGTTCTTGATGAAGATCTTCAAGAAGTCTTCTAAGCCATATTGCTTGACAAGTTACTAATATTGTGGCTACAAATTCTGCTTCTGATGTTGATAACGCAGTTGTTGCTTGCTTTTTAGAACTCCAAGATATAGCTCTCGATCCAAGGCTAAAAACATTGCCTGAAGTACTCTTTCGATCATCTAAGTCTCCTACCCAATCACTATCAGTGAAACCAAATAATTTGAATACATATTTTAATCCAATAGGTTTTTTTTCTTTCGGTAGATCCATTAGCTCCCAAGTTTCATTCTTCTCAATTGAGTTGATTTCCTCCTTTATTGCTTTTCTCCATTCGTCCTTTTCAACTACTTCATCAAAAGTTGTTGGATCTGAAATAAATAAAGCAAATATTGAGTTATAAATTTCTATCAGTGATATGAAATTTCTTGGAGGGGTTTCATCTGAGGAATCATAGTTTGAACTGCTATTGGATGAGGTTGACGGTGAACTTGTTGGAGCAGGATCTATTGGAATCTGCATTTGCGTTCCACCTTTATTGGTCTTCCAATTCCAACTTGCCCTTTCATCAAATATAACATTTCTGTTAATAATAACTTTACCACTAACAGGGTTATATAATCGATATGCTTTCGATTGTAAAGAATAATCAATTAAAATACATTTTTCAGATTTTTCATCAAGCTTGTGATGATTTTGTAAATTCACCAAAGCATAAGCAATACAACCAAAAATTCTTAGATGTTTAACACTTGGTTTCATACCATACCAAGCCTCAAAAGGAGTTCGATTCAAAACAGCCTTTGTTGGTGAAATATTCAACAAATAAACTGCTGTTGCAACTACTTCTGCCCAAAACGGATTTGGAAGATGTTTTCCTTTAAGCAAACTTCTTGTCATTTCAACAACAGTCCGATTCTTACGCTTAGCTACACCATTTTGCTCTGGTGTATATGGTATTGTCAATTCTCCATGAATACCATTTTCTTCACAAAAAGAATTAAACTCATTAGATAAAAATTCACCATCTCTATCTGTCTGAAATGTCTTTATATATCTACCACTTTGCCTTCTACAAGTGCCTTAAACTTCTAAAAATTATCAAATGTTTCATATTTCAATTTCAGAAAATATACCCAACTCATGCGACTATAATCATCCATAAACAATAAAAAATATTGACTTTCACCAAATGATTTTGTATTCATAGGTCCACATAAGTCAGCATGAATTAATTCAAGACAATTAGATGCTCTCCATGTTTTTCCAATAGAAAATAATTTTTTACTTTGTTTGCCATAAATGTATATTTCACATACATCAAGTGTATTAATCTTGGACAATCCGAAAACCATTCCTTTTTGACTTAACAACCTTAAACCCTTAATGTTAAGGTGTCCATATCTTAAATATCATAAACTAGATTTATTATTTTGAGTTGTGATAAGTGCATGCCTTTCAATATTTGACACATCAAGTGGAAACATCTTGTTTTGTGTCATGCAAACATTTACTATAATCAAATCAGATTTTTTATTTGCATGAACCATCATCAAATATTACTGAATATCCATCATCTATCAATTGTCCAACACTCAACAAGTTATGTGATAAAGTAGAAACAAAGAAAACATTATCAAGGTATTTTACCTTCCCTTGATTTGTCTTCACTTTAATTATTCATTTCCCTTCCACTTGGATTTACTTGCTATCTCCAAGTCTAACTTTCAACTTGTGAGTTTAATCAATATATCTAAATATTGATTTTATGCCTGACATATGATTAGAACATCCACTATCCAGAATCTAAATATCATTTGAGATATCATGAACTTGTGAATGAGTCATAAACAACTTACTGTTTTCTTCATTTTCCTCCACATAACTTGCTTGCTTTTCTCTTTTCCAGCAATCTACCTTCATATGATCAATTTTTTTACAATAGTGACATTGAATTCCACTCTTGTAATATTTTTTATCATAATTTGATTGTCTTTGTTCATCATGCCCATCAAAGTGTCCTTTTCCTCTTCCATTTTCTCTACTATGAAATCCTCCTCTGCCACGTCCTCTTCCTATTGATTTTTTGTCTTCTTTTGAAGTAGAAGATTCCCCCTTAATCTGAAATACTTTTTCTTCACTTTTTTCAAGTGACCTGTTCAACCTTACTTCATGTGCTTACAAGGAACCCATTAGTTCATCAAATAAATAAGTAGATAAATCTTTTGACTCCTTAATTACGATAATAATATGATTAAATTTCGGAGTTAAACTTCTTAAAACTTTTGCAACAATTATATGATCAGGAAGATGTTCACCATAAGATTTCATTTGACTAACAATTTCAACCACTTAAGAAAGAAAATCTTGCATCGATTCATTGCTTTTCATGAACAAAATTTCAAACTCACGATAGAGGGTTTGAAGTTTTACCATAATCATCCTTGATGAGCCTTAAAATTCATTTTGAAGTATCAATCAAGCTTGCTTTGAGGTTGTCGCTGCTATAATTCTTGAGAAGATCGTCTCATGTACAGCTTGTTGAATGAAGAATAATGCCTTTGAGTCCTTCTTTCTATTCTCCCTCAACTTGATTTCGTCATCTGGATCTGCATATTCATTCTCTATTAAGTCCTAAAGATCTTGAGACTTGAATAGAATCTTCATTTTGATACTCCAAAATTCATAGTATTTGCCCGAGAAGATGGGGATTAGGGGTTGAGACATGGAATTGTCATTGAAAGCCATAATGCCCAGTTCAGATTGAAACTAGGCTCCGATACCACAAATGTTGGGATAGAGGAGTAAGGAAAAAACAGAATACTACGATAGTAAAAGAATCATTTCGATTCAAAAAAACTGATATAATATTTAAAAATAGAAGGATTGACAAGAATACTTACAAGATACCAAATGCACATACTCTTTATATCCTTGCTTCATGGTCCCATTTATAGGACCTAGTTGTAACCACCCTATAACTACTAAATCATGATTGTGGTAGTTATTGAAATCATCTTATAACTAATAGATCATGAGGTGATTGTTGAAATCATCATGTAACTATGAATCAAATCATCTTCTTCTTGTATGTTTGAGAAGGTGGGAGTTCAGTGCGTATGTGTGGAATCATTAACTCTTCTTCATGCTTCTACTTCCTTTAATTCTGTTTTTGCGGACGCAAGTTATGTATATTCCACTTGGAAGTCTGTAAAAGATCACCAAGGTTAGAATCTGAGACATACTAAATTGCAGTAGTTCTTTTTATTTTAGCATACTAAATCGAGGCGTTTCTACGTGCTTAGAATCAAGAAATGGTCATCGAAAGTTTTGTTGAGGCTGAGATCTTTGGATGGTCATGCCCAATGTTCCCTTCCTTATGAGAAATAATGGAGGCATGCATGGCTAAGGGGTGCGCCAATAGGTGCGAACGGTGAAAGAAACTGTGGCGGAACATATAACAGAGAGAGAGAAGAGCAGAGAGAACGTTAAGGTTTCGAGATTTTGATAGATGATGAAGCAGTTAAACTTTGTTGGTATTGACTCAAATTTTATATAAGAATTATTACAGTAAGTTCTACGATTTCAACGATACCGATTTATAGTTTATTTTTTCTATTATAATTACTCGATGAGATTTAAAAACTTTTTTTTTTATGAAATCCATGTTATTAATAAGTCAATATCTATATTCTTAATGTTATTATTATCTTCTGATTATTCTGGAAAAGACTTATTATAAATCTGTTATCATTATTAATGATAATGAAAGTTTAAAGTAGATTAAGTTTTTCACGTATAAATTCGATCTGATTAATATTTAATTTTTAATAATAAATTAATATTTTGATGAAAAATTTGTCCCCCGCCTCCACCTTCCCCAGCATTTCAAAGCAGGAATGCTTGCTCAAATTATTTAAACAGCAGTATAGATTAGAAGAAGCACAAATCGCCAATTATTGCAGCGCTTTGGGTCACTGGAAACACACAAGCACTCGCCCTGCCGAAACCTGCTTCCCTTTCAGCAAATGGGAAGTGGAGCGCCATTCCATTCCTTCAAGCACTCGAGAAGAGGATCGATCAGCTGCCCTCTGTTGATGGCCGCAAACACCTTGTCGAACTCCTCGCCCGGCGACCGCACCTTCTCGCCCGTCAGGTATGCAGTCCCGAGCTCCTCCCTCACAAACCGATACAACGGGTAGGACCTGCACTCCCTGATCGTGTTGGCGATGGCCGCACTACCGTTCTCAACCGCGGCCCTCGCTGCCTCCACCTCCTTCGGCAGGACGGCCTTCAGCTCCGCCTCGAACTCGGCGATCTTTTGGAAAATGGAGGTGCCTGCGTCCTTCCCCTTCTCGCCGTTGTTCAAAGCATGCTCCACGAGGACCATCCTCAGCTTGGGCATCAGACTGTAGGTCGAGCTGCAGGGGTCGTCGATGTAGCTGAAGACGTGCTCTCGGTCGACGACCGTCATGAGGTCCTTCTCGCAGAACCTCGAGGGATGGAGCTCGCCGTCGGCGCCGGTGGTCAGGACCCTCTTGGCGACTTGGCTCACCGTGTTCGTGACGGCCTTCTTGAGGTTCTCCTCCAAGTGCCTCAGATCGATGGCTTGGCAGAGCGCGACCAAGTAGGTGGCGGACATGAGCTTCAGGATGTCGACCGCCTCCGCCGTCTTCCTCGAAGAGATCAACCCCAAGGAGTTGACGTCCTGGTTGTGCTGCTCCGCGCTCTGGACGTGGTTGGTCACCGGGTTGGCGAGGAACTGGAGCTCGGAGCAGTAGGCCGCCATGGCGATCTCGGCGCCCTTGAAGCCGTAGTCCAAGCTCGGGTTTCGCCCGCCGGAGAGGTTCGACGGCAGGCCGTTGTTGTACAAGTCATTGTCGAGCTCGGAGAACTGCGCGAACAGGAGCTTCCCGATAGTGGCGAGGGCCAAGCGGGCGTTGTCCATGGAGACACCGATGGGCGTGCCCTGGAAGTTGCCGCCATGGAGGGCCTTGTTCCTGGAGACGTCGATCAGGGGGTTGTCGTTGACGGAGTTGATTTCCCTCTCGATGGACTTGGTGGCCGAGCGGATGACTTCGATCTGAGGCCCGAGCCACTGCGGGGAGGTGCGGAGGGCGTAGCGGTCCTGCTTCGGCTTCTGCAGGGGGTCTTGCTCGTGGAGGTTCTTGGCCATCTTCATGTAGGAGCTGCCGTCGAGGATGTGCTCCATGATGGCGGCGGCCTCGATCTGGCCCGGGTGGTGCCTCAGCTTGTGGGTGAGGTGGTCAGTGAACTCCGGCTTACCCTGCATCACCTCGCAAAAGATGGCCGACAGGACCTCGGCCAGGACGGCGAGGACGTTGGCCTCGTACAGGACGACCGAGGCGAGGCCGGAGCCGACGGCGGTGCCATTGACGAGCGCGAGGCCTTCTTTGGGCTGCAGCTCGAAGAACCCCCGGGGGATGCCGGCGCGGCGGAAGGCCTCCGCGGCGTCGACGGTCTCCCCGCCGGGGCAGAAGGCCTTGGCGTTGGGGCGGCCGGTGAGCAAGGCGGCGATGTAAGACAAGGGAAGGAGGTCGCCGGAGGCGGTGATGGTGCCGCGGAGGGGAATGCAGGGGGTGATGCCGGAGTTGAGGAGGCTGGCCATGGCCTCGAGGATCTCGAACCGGATGCCGGAGTAGCCCTGGAGGAGGGTGTTGATGCGGACGAGCATGGCCGCCCTGGCTGCGGAGGGCGGCAGCGTGTGGCCGGACTCCCACCCGGAGCCGAATATTCCGGCATTGAGGAACCTGTATCACGAAGAATCGGACGACCATAAAAAATTCTCGAACCAATCACATGCGGAGAATCTTAAGCATCGCGCGAAGCACCGAACTCGACCGATGCATGGATGCAAGTTCACAACTAGCTCGTTAATGTAGCCGCTCCATGAATGCATTCACGTTCACAAGTGCATGAATGCAAGTTCACAACTAGCGTGAAGAACCAAACACATGTAGCCAAATTCGATCGATGTAGCGGCAAAGCATCCTTATTCAACCTTTTTTGTCCTTCCTTATTTAGGTACCTAAGCCGACGAGGTAGAGATAGAGAGAAGCGGTAAATCACCTGATGAGCTCCCTTTGGAGGGCTCCTCCTTCCCTGGTCCTCCTGTGGCAGGTGGCACCGAACCCGGTGGTGACTCCATAGCTATCGGTGCCCTTGGTCATGCTGTCCATCACCCACTCGCTGCTGGCGCTCACCCTGTCCCTCGCAGACTCCGACAGCTCCACCCTCACCGCACTCGAGTGCGCCGCCATCGCGACAGCCGCCACCTGGGAGATGTTGAGCGTCGCGCCCTCGAGTCTCACCAGCGGCTGCCTGAACTCTTCCACCATCCTCTTGACGTCATCGAGATGGCTCCGGGTCATCGCCTCGGCCGCGGCTCCCCAGTTCAGGGGGTCCGCCTTGATGCACGGGCCGTTGCCGACGCCATTCTCAACCTCCATTGTCAGAAGCACAAAGAGCAGAGCGAGAGAGCGAGAGAGAAGTGCTATTTCTCTTGAGGAGAGAGGTGGCAAGGGAAGGCTTAAAAGAGAGAGGAGTGGTGGGAAGGTTGTAATCGGCATAAGCTCTGGACCGTTGGATGGATCAAGAGCAGATGATCCTGGTGGTCTGGACGAAGTTCCACAGACCAAGTTTAGATACACTGGTAAGGGGCGAGAAAATGGAAATGCATGCACTCCTAATTCGGGCAGCTTCTCCCAGCCGTTTGGGAGTTCCACTAAATTAAATTAGATACACTGCTCAGGGGTGAGAAGTTGACCACAGTTGCATTTCCTAGGCAAAGCACTTTCAGACTGCAACAAAAGATTGCTGGCTAAATATCTTGATGAGAGAGAGAGAGAGAGAGAGAGAGAGAGAGAGAGAGACAGAGA